TGACTTCTAACTGGATTACAGTACCTGCTTCCTGATTTCAGCTACTATAGTTTGTATTCAGTTTTTTTGGCTTTGTGTGGCCTAACCTGTTGTGCCTTGCATGCTATAAATGTTCAATTATGTCAGAAACCCGAGATTTCGTCTTATGCTGAGCATGTGCTACTGCTGGTGAATGTGTTGCTGTTCTTTTGCATAACCTAAAGTAAATAAGGAAAACCAGCTGTTACATAGTTTAATTCCACTATTTATCCTCCACACAACTAAAAGGGACCTCTCAATGCAGTGTCAAATCAGACAAATCATTTCTAACTTAATATAGGTTTGAGCTGTAGCTGGGCAGAGTTGCACAACAATCTCATCTGTCATTGAGACATTTCTATAAGCATGGGGAGGAGGTGGATGAAAGGAAATGTAAAATATAGGTAGAGTGGTATAGGTCTTATCACTGGCTGATAATGGTCTATATTAATGCCACTGTTGACTGCTGTTCACTTTACATGGTTCAAATGTTATTCTCTTATAATTTATTAAATAGTTTATTACACTATTTGGTTCAGAATATATTTTCCCTGTGTTCCTCCTCTAAAAATTAAGTGTGTCTTAATGTCCGGTGCGTCTTATGGAGCAAAAAATGCGGTAATACACTGGCAAAAGGAATTTCTTGCAGAATGCCCCTCATTGCCCCTTTATATTTCTATTCTAAAGGATTTATAAAAGGATTAGATGTTTCACTGTATGCTACTATGCACATTTTTAAATGACCTGCTGACCCTTGCTAATTTTAATGATCATATGACCGCCGTAAGTTGGAGGCAACTTGACAGCATGTAACAACAACTCATCATCCTCTACCAGCAGGCCAGTCATTGGAGTACAGTGATGTCTCACAAGACAATGTTAATTCGTTCTGCGAAAATCGCTGTCATGTGAAAACATTGTCTTGCAAAATGCGGTTCCCCACTGGAATGCATTGAAATCCATTTAATGCATTCCAATGGGGGGAAAATCGTCATCTTACAAAAATCGCCCATAGAGAAACTGTTTTGTGAAGCACGGATCCAGCTGTCAAAATCATCGTCTTGCAAAAAACCGTCTTGTGAAGCACGGACTGAAACATCGTCTAGCGAAAATCGCCCATAGGGAAAACCGTTTTGCAAAGCACTATAGCAATCGCAAAAACCCATCATCTTGCGAATTAACCGTTTTGCGAGGTAATCGTCTAGCAAGGCACCACTGTATAGCCCAAACCATCAGGTCCACGCCAGCTGAGGGGTACCTGCTACAGGTTCAAGACACAAGATTTTTGTTGTTTCCTAAAACACCCAATTTCCCTCACTTTCTATTACTGAACGGACGTTGGCAAGATTCTTAGAAACACGTGCACAAAGGCACACCAAACACATGCAGACATTGTTTTTTTGTTTCCTCCTGATCATCTTGCTCAATTTTCATGAAAGATTACAAAGACAAGAAGGGGAAAAAAGGAGGAGGAGCAGGCAAGAGGGAAGCTCCAGGAGCACAAATTTTTATTACAGATTCTTTACAGATCCCTGATGGGTCAGCAGAACAATCCAGATGAAGTGGAGCGGGTCAAAGTTCAGCTAGCTCATCAGCTGCTGTTCTTTACAGTTCTCAACAAAAGGGCAGAGAACAAAAGGAAAAAAACACACAGGGCAGTTAAATGCTTAATGAAAACCCTGAACAGCAGGAGTGTGGCCTTTAATTAATCCAGCAGATCAGCTAGGGGGGTAAGGCTCAAAAACCCTGCACTAGAGGAACAACAACCATCAGGAATATTGTACTGCCAGCCCTTCAGGAGTTAACTGTGGGGTTTTTAGGATTTCCCACGTCACATCATACACTTCAGCTCTTACTTCATATTAAAGACTTCTCAATGGTTATTCCTGCCTTGCAATACAAGATTGTCCACTTGATGAAGGAAATATTGTGACATTAAGGAAATGGTCAGTTAATGATTAAAATCTATATGTCGTTCCTTTCCCTATGAGGAACAAAAGAGAGAACATTTATTTTATCTGGGAGGGGGGTTGTCAAAAATGATGTGCATGTAAGAGCCTGTACTGTGTTTCCCAGAATAAATATTCCTTCATATATCTGAAAAGCTCCTGAAAACAAAAGCTCTCCAGAGACACATCTGAGGAGGTTCACCCCAAAATACCTGGGATAGTGGAGGAAGGAGGAGAGGAATGTTGTAGCATTGTAGTATATTTTGAAATTGTTTTGCTGCCTGTCTTGGTTTGCTGTTTACGTGTGGGATGTTTATAATAACTGTATAATTTATGGTTTTTGTTGTACATCATCCAGAGTAGCAATTTACTAGATGGTTGGCAAATGAATCGAGTGAATCGATTATCACGAGTGAATCGAGTGAATCGAATATCACGATCAGAAGATGCCCTAGTTCTCTCCTACACAAGAGGGAATGTCTCGTCTACCGTGGCATTTGCCAAGCATAGGCGTCTTTAGAGCAAGTGGCTTCACTTTAAAACATCTTTCAGAATTAAAACTGTCAATACATTAAATACAATAACAATCACCGTCATCCTTAAAACTGTCAATACATTAAATACAATAAAAATCACCATCATCCTCTTAGAACTGCAGAGTTTGAAGGGACCCTCTATGGATGATAGCATCCAGTAGAAACAGACCAAGGTAGAACTGCAGAATTGGAAGGGACCCTCTATGGATGATTTGAGTCCAGTAGAAACGGACCAAGGGGCTCCTGTGGACAAGATGCTTCCGAGAACTTCAGCTCCAGCAAATCTGCAGTCAAGCACCAGCACAACAGGTAGGTACATGCACAGAAATCCTAATCACAGGTTAGGTGGGGTGCATGAAACGAAAGCATGCACTGGCATCGGGAGGTGGGTCAGTCCCACATGTTCAAACCATCTCTTCTAGGATCAATCAGAATAATTGAAGAAGGCTGGTATGAGCTCTGCATCCGGAAAGAGTGACTCAAAACAAGCTGAACAAATGCTCTTTGCAACATCTCTTCTTCCCAAGCACAAACAGCTCTGAAGGCCACGTTCAGCCTACAACCTGATCCTAATCACATTCATTCAGATGTCAGCTATACTCCAACCAACAGAATTACTTCCAAATTTGTTTAGACTATGTCAGAAGGCTGTAGACCCAAACACAGAACCCTGTTCTAAATAGGATCCTGTTTGACCAGTAAGTCCCATGTTTCTCATGACTGAACCACACCTCCTTCCAAATTCAAACTGCAGACACCCTACTTTACTGTTGTTGTTTATTAACTGTGAGTGTGTACAAGAGGCAAGATTTGCTTAGAGGGCCTCCTCTCCTAGCCATGCTGTTTTGATCCTGGGACGAATTAAATTCATAAGTCGAGGCACCATTGTACGTATAAATACATACTGGGGCGGTTTAGTACTTTTAGGCAGCAGATAAATGAATCAGCAGGTTCTGATCCCGTCAATAGGAGGGTTCCTATTGTACCTTAAATGCTATGTTTGAAGATTGTTTGCTTTTTTTAAAAGATATTTTGTTTACCCACTTCTGTTAATAAACACCAGCATTTAAGCAAACACAATATGTATGCTGTGTAATGTTACTGTACTGATTTATTAAATAAAACAATTTAAGTGCTTCTCCAAGTAAGAGTGATTAACCTATTAAACTAAGATCTCGATACAGCTGTTTTACTAATCTGACCGGTTATTATTCCAAATATGAAATCTTCATCTGGGAGCAAACATAAAAGATTGTAAGTACCAGCAAGAATAGTAGGGACGTGGTGGCGCTGCAGGTTAAACAGCAGAAGCCTCTGTGCTGCAGGGTCAGAAGACCAAGCAGTCGTAAGCTCGAATCCATGAGACAGAGTGAGCTCCCATCACTTGTCCTGCCAACCTAGCGGTTCGAAAGCATGTAAATGCGAGTCGATAAATAGGTACCATCTTGGTGGGAAGGTAACGGCATTCCGTGTCTAGTTGTGCTGGCCACGTGACCACGGAAACTGTCTACAGACAAACGCTGGCTCTATGGCTTGGAAACGGGGATGAGCACCGCCCCCTAATGTCGGGCACGACTGGACTAAATGTCAAGGGGAACCTTTACCAGAAAGAATGGGTCTTTACATTTAAAGACCATGATTTAAAATCAAGTCTTACTGACTAGTAATTTAAATCATGATTTAAATTATGATTCAAAAACTGGCTTCATTTAAACCAAATCCATCCTGTACTGTAACAAGGAGATTCTGTTCTCCCAGCCAATTCCACTCAGGAATCTAGCTGCAGCATCCTGCACCCACAGAGGTTTCTGAACACCTTCCAGAAGCTGTTTGGTGATCATTTGGGACTTCAGTTCGGCACCCCAAAATTAATCCAAAAAGCCAGGGGGACAAAGAGGTGTTTTTTTTTAAAAAAAATGGCAACTCCAAGAATGTCCCAGCAAGACTGGCCTCCAGATATCACTTTTCTGGACTGCAACTCCCAGCATAGGCACTAACTATGCTGGCTAGGAGCTTCTGGGATCTCTACATTTTAAAATAGCAACTTTTCCCAACTCTGAGACTGCTTCCTATGTTTCTCAGAGCATCAGCAAGAACATTCATTCCAAAGAATGCAACACCCAGTTCTAATCTGTATAAAAATCTAATAATAACAATGTGCCATCCAGTCAATGCCACCTCATGGCAACTCTCCCGGGGTTTTCTAAATATAAAGTACTCAGAAGTGATTTACCTGTCCATTGTTTTGACGGTGTTCTGGAGCCATTCAGCTTGCCCAAGGCTGCCCAAGTGGCATTGTTGAAACCTCATCCACTGCATACGCTTCTGGGTGATCTTGGCTTTTCGCTCCCTTGGGAGACCCGATGGGGATTTGAATTCCCACTCTTAGCTTTGCAGCCAGGAGCTTCAACCCACGGAGCAACACCAAGCTCTATAAGAATCCAGTCAGCGTAAAACAATCTGGTCCGGAGTACAAATGTCACTGGAATAGCTGTGCTCACCAAAGCTTCTGACCTTTGCCGTCTGCCCTGAGACTGTGAGAAAGATATTACCATGCGACTGGAAGGCAAGCTGTATGCAGACTCAGACAAACTATCAGCGATCTTTCAAACAATATAAATACCAGTTAGAACTCTCTCTACAGAACAGATTGTGCCCGTGTCTGTTTCAGACACAGGACGACTCGCCTAACCTGATCAGACTGCATGATGCAAGCTTTACCCTTGGGCTCAAAGTACGAAATCCGGGCCGTGGTATTCCTTTCCCTGGCTTGTCGATCCAAAAGGCAAATAACACCATTACTTATTTAGAAGGAACTGTTTTTTTTAAAAAAGATGTTAAGTGTTTCTCTGCATTTCTCCACTGCCACCCAAGCATAATCTGTAATATACCAGAGGTCAGTTTGTGAAAATCTGTTCAAAATTCATTACATTATAATAAACCCCCTCCAGCAATTCATTCCAATTCTTATTGGAATTCTCTAGCCGCCTAGAGTGGTCCATCGGTCCAGATAGGCGGGGTATAAATAAAATAAATAAATAAAATAAATAAATTATTCCTGATCAGGTTGTGACATTCAGCTTCTTCTTGTTTCGTTCTGATACGCAGACATGTTTCCAAACAGGCACATTTATTTATGCATTCTAATGTACGTACGTATTTTACCCTACTGACTATTTTACACATCTTTGCATATTTTTCCCCACTGTATACACTGTAACCATTTCCATTTTATGAAGAGGACAGATCTTTAAAATACTGTACTTCATTAAACCTTGCAAATGTTCTGATTCTCAAAGTAATGTGTTTCGCTTTGCAGTTTTGGAGGTCCAAAATGGATGTTTGGGTCAAGTTTATGAAATACAACAATTTCCCCCCCTTAATCAGAGGCAGTGAAGTAGCTTTCTCAAAAATTTGAATTGGATTTTTTTTAAAAAACCTTTCAATATCCTAAAATAGAGAGCGATTAATTTGATTGATATTAAATAAAAAATTTTTAAAGTCCCAACAAGTCAGAAGTATTAGAGATAAAGCATCCAACACAGGGTTGTGGGGTTTTTTTGGTGACGGAAAAATAGTAATAGTGTGCTGTCAAGTCAGAGTTTACTAAATAGAGAGTACAGTGGGGTCTCTACTTAAGAACTTAATCCGTATTGGAAGGTGGTTCTCAAGTGGAAAAGTTCTTATGTAGAATCTGCATTTCCCATAGGAATGCATTGAAAACCATTTAATCTGTATCTGCTCTTTTCTGTCCATAGAAACTAATGGGAAGCTGCTATTCCGCCTTCTACCACTAGAGGGGGATATTTTTTTTCTCTTTTTTTCCCTTAGGTCAGGGAACAGTGTTAAAAGCACTTCTGACGAAGCTAATTTTGAAGCAATGGACTGAAAACCAATTAATCCGTTCTGGCTGTTTTTTTGTTATGTAGAGGTGCGTTCGTACATTGAAGCATTAGTTCCCATAGGAACTAATGCAAAGCTGGTTAATACGTACTCTACCACTAGGGGGAGAACTTTTTTTAACCTAAGATGACCTAAGGTTAAAAAAAGAGCAGGAAAGGTTTTTTTTCCTGTTCTTATCTTGGATTTCTGTTCTCAAGTAGAAGCAAAATTTAGCAAATGGAGCTGTTCTTAAGTGGAATTGTTCTTAAGTAGGGACGTTCTTAAGTAGAGACCCCACTGTACCAGAAGTGGTTGACCATTGCCTTCTTCTAGGGACTTCCTGGGATTGTGCAGCTGGCCCAAGGCCTCACAGGCTGGCTCTTTTGAGTTGCACAGTAGGGAACTGAACTCTCCACCTCTGGGTCCAGTCATGATGCCTGACTCAGTGAGCTAGAATAAGATCTACATTAAAGGAGGCATGAGATCGAATCCTTGCTAAGTCATAATCAGGGATGAGGAAGGCCACCGGGGCCCTGTCACAGGGCACAGAAATTTATAGCTGAATCGACCAGTGAGTGTTAGGAAAATAAAGAGCAACACTGCCCACTCTGTTGTTTTCCAAAGCATAAACTTTCTGTATTCTCAAAGGCTTTCACGGCCAGGATCTGATGGTTGTTGTGGGTTTTTCGGGATCTTTGGCCGTGTTCTGAAGGTTGTTCTTCCTGACTTTTCACCAGTCTCTGTGGCCGGCGTCTTTTGGGCCTGGTGTTCTGAAGGTTGTTCTTCCTGACTTTTCACCAGTCTCTGTGGCCGGCATCTTCAGAGCATGGACAGAGTTCCTACTCCAGTCTTCTGAAGATGCTGGCCACGGAGACTGGTGAAAAGTCAGAAAGAACAACCTTCAGAACACAGCCAAAGAGCCCAAAAAATCCACAACAACCGTCATAAACTTTCTCTTTTTTAGAAGTAGACATCCTATTATCCTCCTTTCTCATGGGGGGGGGCTCATATCCACACCTGAGAGGTGTAAGTACAAGACAGTGTCACTTGTTTTGGGTTAACCAAAATGGCTAGTTATGACCTTGAGTTGGTCATTCTCCCTCTTAGCCTGCGTTTCCTTCATGGTGGGTTCTTTGCATCTTCCTTTCCTTCTAAATTTATCTAAAATTAACTGGTGGGCCAAACAGATTATTGAATGGAAGAGGAGGGCTGGGTAGAGCTTAGAATCTCTCCGAGTTGCTGGGGGAATCAAAAGCTCCCAAGCTCCAGAAAAGAAAGGAGATAGCGCTCCGAAGTTTGCTTAAAGCAAAACAAAGGTTAACCTTAGTTTCCAGTTTGGTTCGGCCTGGGCCGGTGCACAGCGAAAAAAGGTGAGTTCACAATAATATTTCTTTGGATTATTAAATGCACTGTTGGCTTTATTTCACAAATCAATGAGCCATATACAGTATGTGTTCTCACACAAACGTCCTAGAGGTCAACTGAAAAACAATGTCATAACACAGTACAGTGGACCCTCTACTTACGGAATTAATCCGTATTGGAACAGTGGCTGCAGGTCAAAAAATCTGTAGGTTGAGGCTCCATTGACCTACAATTAAAACAAAACAAAGGTTAACCTTAGTTTCCAGTTTGGTTCAGCCTGGGCCGGTGCACAGCGAAAAAGGTGAGTTCACAATAATATTTCTTTGGATTATTAAATGTACTGTTGGCTTTATTTTACAAATCATTGAGCCATATATGTGTTCTCACACAAATGTCCTAGAGGTCAACTGAAAACCAGTGTCATAACACAGTACAACTAACCTGGGTTCTAATTTAAGACTTGTTTGAAAATATAAGAATGTTTTTGCTGACTAAAAGAATTTTGAACTTGGGTGGATTTGATTTAAATCAAGTTGATTTCAATTTTGAAAATCCAGGTTTTTTTGACAATTTACATTTTTAAAAATATCAATTTTTAACATTTAAATCGTGATTTAAATTGATTTGATTTAAAAAAATCATTGATTCTTATCCACCCTGCAAGCTTGTTTAATACAGCACTGCCACCCACTCATTGTAACTTAATAACTTTATAACAACTCAGGTCTGAGTTAGTTTGTTTCTCTTAAAGAAATGAAACATTTTCTGCTGAAAAATTAAGCATGGGGCATTTTTTCACTCCCAGAGGACCACTTAGAAAATTCAGACAAACAGCAGCAGAATAAAGTTAGTTACAACTTTATTCTGTTGCTGTTTATCTGGATTTTCTAAGGTTCTCCTGGTATGCAGTCCTTTCATCTCTCATAAGGCTGAAGATGATAGTCTCTATGTTCAGGTTCTCCTATGCACGGGGAAAAGGCAGATTTTATATTCCCAGTCAGGAGGTGCCAAAATTTGCAAACTATAAAGCAAGAGAGAGGCCAAGTTTTATTTACAAAGGAATTACCAAACCACTGTGGGATTAGGTCTTTGAAAAGGTAAAAATGATCAGCTGAATTAAAGCCATTCGGCCTCGTGGAATGTGAATGCACATTTTATTTTTCATGACAGTTTGCTTACGAAACATTCTGCTGCCTACTTTTACCATCTTCTTCGCCAACTCTCGCAGCTAAATGAAATTCCCCCTGCATAAAAGCCAGGGGTCCTCCGGTTTGCCTTTTAAAGAAACAGAACGGCAGAGGAGACAGTGCTTCTCTTGATGCAGGAAAGAAAAAACTGTTTGGCTCTCTTGCTTCCTTCCAACTTAGATCTGCCCCAGATAGAGTGGCTTTCATTTTAAAATCGCTCAAGCATTTATTTCTCCTGGTTTCTACACGATTGCCCACAAGACCTTTTTTTGTATAAAAGTCTAAACATGTGTGTGTTATATGTCAGCATGTGTAGATGTGTATGTGCAAGAAAGAAAATCCCCTTCACAACACCAGAAGACGACAAAAGAGCAGCTAGGGAAATCCTAGTTTAGCAGGGGAAGATTCTGCCAGCTGATGTAACCTTGCTGACGTCACCGGGGTGGCTGCAGATTTAGTATCGATTGCACCAGCTTAACCAGGATCAGAAATCCTTTACTCCTGGGGAAACCCTGAGGGGCTACTATGGCACATCTGTCTGAGACTGAGCAAAGAAGTATTTTGAAAATAAAAGGAAAAAAGGATACAGCAGCACCCTAAATTCAGCTACACACTTTCCCTAATGATAGGAAGTTGCACCTCCCGAATATTATAGAACCACAGAAATCATAGAAAAGTGAAGCTGGAAGAGCCCTAACAAGGCCATCAAGTCCAACCCCCCAGCTCAATGCATCTTTGTGACTTATAAAGCAATTTGTGGGGAGTGTTGGATTATTATTTTTTTACTATAAATCCCATCATTCTGGGAATTCCACCTGACAGGACCACATCTAGAGACTCCTAAATGTGTCTCACCTGGAGAAGTGTCCTAAGTTGGGAAGACTTTGTGGCCTACCATAGGTCTAGCTGTACCCTCGCTTCCTATTCATAAAGGAAGTGACCTCACTGCTAGGTGGGAGGTTCCTTTCTAAACAGGCAGCTGATTGGCA